CCAGTAGAGAAACGAACTGATGATACGGCTGGCGGAGTGGAAGAAAGTGACGCCTTGCCATCGAAACAGCCAAGGCGGGACCCTGCTATAAAGAAACGACCTCACGATACAGCTGACGGAGTAGAAGAAAGTAACACCTTGCTATTGAAACGACTTGTTGATACGGCTAGCAGACCGGAAGAAAGTGACGCCTTGCCATCGAAACGGGCAAGGCGCGACCCTCCAGCAGAGAAACAATTTGATAATACGGCCGGCGGAGCGGAAGGAAGTGATACATTGCTATCGAAACAGTCAAGGCGCCCTGCCCATGCGGAGATCAAAGCCAAGTGACTCCATTGAAACGAAATTCCAAGAAAGCAGCATTATCAGCGGCTGTCGCTCAAAATCCCATTCGCGGTCGTCTGTCAAGCAGCAGAGACCAAGTGGCGCTGGGAACACGGCGTGCAGCACAAGAGGTGCTCCGCCGAAGTCGTCGCATCGCCGCTCTTGTTGCGACCAAGGCTGGATACAAATGAAGCAGGGTCGGTCGGCCGTACTACTACTACTTCTTACACCTTGCTACTGTTCCAAGGCAACGCCGACGTTTGATGGATTTTACGCCGAAGGCTCGTCCTCGTAGTGAGAAGAGGAATGTTGGCGACTCATACAGAAATGATGGTTGTCTTTTGCTGCACCCTCAAGGAAACCGCGAACGACAGCTCTACGCTGTCATCGCATCCAAGATACCTATCATGGGGGGTTTAGCGTTGGGTCTACAGCGGCGAGAGCAATTAATTACGCCTTTGCTGACTGGTATCGAGGATTATGCATTTACTAGACTTATAATTACCAATAAAATACTATCATCTCTATAGTATAGTAGTTCTATAGTAGGGAGTTCTATATAGGTCAGTATATATAGTCTACTAATTCATATCCATTATAATTTTTCTAAAAGTTAGGTAGTGCTAGTCTTACAACGAACTTTTGTGCCGCGACACTCTATTTAATTGAATCTTGGTTTAGTTCACCTCCAAAGCCAACTAGTTGGGCACTTTCCGTTGCCATCCTCCGTGCCACGGACGTCCCAGTACATATGGCTCGGTGCCATACCTCTATTGCTCTTGCTTTTTTGCTCACGTCAAAACGCCATGTCGACTAACCAAGGCTTATTGTTTTCCTCCTCTCCATGCGTCATGATAGCCGCATTTACCAACAGGGTTGTTCTGTCTCCAACCGCCGCGCGGACATATGGTACACCCTCTCGCTCCGCGGCGTCCACATCGGTGACCGCCACCCTTGTTGTGTTGGTTTGGAACGTCGCTCTTTGGGCCCCATATCCTTCGTGTATGTGTCCAAAGCAGTGCATCTTTGGCCGGACCCTCGCGATTGCCTCCCAGAGTCGTGGGCATCCGAGATGCTGCTTTTTGCCATCACTATTGCCACTTCCTCCGCCGAGGTCGAGCCGGTAGGCTGGTCCAGATGCACCCTCTTGAGATGTTGAGCCCGGAGGTCGAGGCGGGCCGTGTGTCATGACAATATCGACATCTTCTGGGATTCTCTTCTCCCCATTGAAGCGATCCTCGTCTGGGTTGTATCCAAAGGCATAGCCACCAAAGCCTGGGGTATACTGCGACGCGTAGACTGTAAACGCGCGCCCGTTTTTGAGGGCTACCTTGTGATGGCCTTCATCGAGGAAGCGTACTCCGCGGCGAGTGTAGTCGTCTGATGTACACAGCGCACGGGCGCGTACTGGCTCGTCTTGTTCGTCATCGCTGTCGAGATTTTCCTCCCACCACTTGGCGTCAAGGGAGACATCGTGGTTGCCTGGGATTACGAGTTTGACCTCTGCCGGACACGCTGCCAGGGATTCGAGAGCACGGCGGTAGTTGGACATGCCGCCAATCATGGTTAGATCACCGCAGTGAAGAACTACGTCGACAGCAGGAAGAGATGCTGGGTCCGGGAAGGCATTGTCATGTGTGTCGGACAGAACAAGAAACCGGATTTGCTGCGTCATGGTGAATTGTGAAAGTGGTAGCAACGTCGATTCGATAAGTTGTAGTGACTGTTAGTCAGAGCAAGGCAGTTAGTTTCGTTTGTATTTGTTTGGAGGGTGCGTAGGAGGGGGGCTTTCTACCATGCACCAGAGGACAACTCGCGTAGTCCTGGCCTAGAGAAATGGGCTCCAATCGGGTGCATCTTTTTTCTTAAACCTTATCCCGCTTATGATAGTGTCTCTGTGAGTCATCGAAGATTGAGAATGCCGCTGTGAGCCATCGAAGGTTGGCCACAAGAGGCGACGTGGGGGAGGGCAGACAATAGCATGCTCTATTGGGCCCACAGACACAGCGACGTGAACTTTCTCGAGTATCTCCTTCCATTACTAAAAACAATAAGCAGCAATTTATTTGGCTAATTTAAAATACGATACATCTTATGTGTATCAATGTACTATTCTATTATGTCGGAGGTTCGATAATTGGATGATGATAATGGGGAAAAAGAAATAGGCTTTATAAAGCGCATCAGAACATCGACGCTATTATTCTTTCTATAGCATAGAAAAGTGTTAGAGATCATTAATAATGCGAATATTAAAATTCGACAAATAATAGGCTGTATTTGAGATTGTTATCTGCTAAAAATAATTATTTTAGTAACGAGACAAACCTATTGCGTATGCTCACTATCTACTGCTGTATGGCGGCAGCTAAGCGCTTGGTGTCCGCTGCCATGCGATTGGGGGACTGTTGCCTGAAACTACTATTCATGGTCACTCAAATTCTTGTGCGGCTCACAACACTTTCAAACTATCCTGAACACTTTGGCTGGCTAGCCACGCTCCACTGCAAAAGAGTTGATGGAAGAGTATAGTATTTGCCTTGTTGCCGTACTTTGCGCTATCGAGCACGGTTGCAACAGCCGCCAAGACCAGCAGCTTGACAAGACAGCGCAAAAGGTGATGCAAAAGGCGGATAGAAAAGTGTCAAAAATACGACTAAGAGTAGTTCTAACCACTTCGGGGCTAGGATGGTACTCTACGAAATCACATCGACATCACGCATGCTAGCTGCAGCCCAAGATTCGAGACGCCGACCGGCCATTGCACAAGTCTTTCCGAAGAGGCAGGCTGGAATTAGGGCTGAGACATTTTTTACTTGCCAGCCAGATTTCATCCTGCCAGCTGCGAAGGCTTGACGCCATGTTTTGTAGAAGGACTTCTCCATGAGGATCACAAGGTGACTAATAAACTCGCGCAACTATAAACAAAAGAGCCGTGTACGGTGGCTTAAAAAAAGGAAAATAAAATAATAAAACAGGAAAATTTGATTTTTTTTTTCTTTTTTTGCTACACAGACGGAGGGAGATAAAGAGAAGCGCAGTCCGTTGGAATGATATCGGTGCCCGGCGCATTCCAGCGACGCAGTGCTTGGTGCAAGTACACAGTGCTAGGTAAAGCTGGGATACATGCAGGCAAATGCAAGGGAGAGGGGCAAGTGAGAAAAAAAACTGGTCTCCATCTTTTCAAATGCCAAGACGGAACCCAACCTCATGATTATCGGGTGGCAAGGAAACGAGTGGTTGTACAACGACTGATGACCATGGTGACCCAGCAGCCACCTACAGTGGGTTTGCCAAAAGTTCCGTACATATTTAATGTCGACCTGCAGCCGTCCTGGTTGGCTGTAAGCCACTTCTGCAAAAAGGTGGTGTGGCTGGGGCCGGAATCGGGGTGAGGGGGATGGTGAGCTGTTTGACGCCCAACACATACATATCCAAACACCCGGCCACTTTTTGACCTTTTGTTCCCCAAATTACTCGTCCCGCGTATCATGGCACGCACCAAAGCCACCAAGAGAAAGTCCACGGAGCCGCCGCTCGTAACGGTGACGCGTTTCTACCTGCCACTGGACCAGGAGTGGCCGATGTGGGATCTTATGCCGGATCTTTACCATGCCGAGAAGAAGGTTTATGCTGGCCCGCTTGAGGTTGTGGAAGGCACTGGTGGCTTAAGGGTCGGCAGAATGATTGACAACCCAGAGCAGGCCGCCTACTTTATAGGTGAGTGTCACTGTGTTCGCCTGTTGCGTGTATCATGATAAAGTACTGACAATCAGTAAATGTATAGAATGGCGGGAACTGGAATATTTCAAACGCTTTCAATCCTCTCCCGCCTGCACCGAGTTTCTACGCCAACTTCCCGAATCTAGGGCTGCAGCCTCGGCCGTCTCCAATATCAGCAGCCAACTAGAGCACCTAGGCTTAGACGACGCCTCTGGGTCGTCGACAGAAACATCTCGATTTCTCTTTCTCAAGCCTGCTTTCTATGCACGATCGCCAATAGACGGGGTTATGACTTTTACGGCATTTCTCCTACCGGAAATAATGGACTCCAGCGCATTGAGACAGCTACATGATTTGTTGGGAAATATGCCTTCTGGACCTCGGGTCTCGTACGACAGTAACGCGAGGTGGCCTCCTGACCTGGCACTAGGCTTCTCTGTTCTTGAGGAGGATCGATGGGCCCAAAACAGTTTCGGCGCACAGCCCCGGAACGATAGCTGCGGCCGAGCCATCTTTTGCCACGTGTTTCTCTGGTCGAACCGCTACAGGGAACCCCTCAAACAGGAGCAGGCTGCGGCGGCAGACCTGACAACGCAAAAGATGCGACAAAAGCAGATTGCAAAGATAATGCCTCCCGCTATAGCATACGTGCAGGAGCGCTGGAATCTTCGGATGATACCACACTTTTGGACCGCGGATAATGAGACTGAATCGGAAGACGATACTTCGCAATCCAGTGAGTGTACCAGAGTAACCAGCACAATCAGGAGATAGAATAGATTAGTACAGTAAATTCATCTCATTCCTGTGTCTTGTCATATATTGCACAGAAACCTTGGGAGTTCAATACGATGAAAGTCTGCATATTTGCCCCAGATAGACTAGTCCATAGTGTCCACATACCAGCGCCCTGTATTGGTTCAGTATAGAACTGAATGGCATGTGTTACTGACATCAAGGTATGATATTTACAGCTCCGTATGTCTTCTTGCCTCTGGTGCCAGTCACCTTGAAGTCCCAGTTCTTAGGTACAGACACAGGATCCTGTGGGTTTTTCGCATTGGCCTGACCAAACAAGAGATACATGTGGGCGATAAAGAAAACATAGTTTTCAATGTTCTTCTGTGATTTTAGCGCGCTGAGGTTAATAACATCGGCTATGTCATCTACCGGGTACGAGGTTAGCAAAATACACAAGACAAATCGGCTAATAGAAATCGGGGGACTATGCCGGAGCCAAACGCCACCTACACTTTTCGGCTGGGCCTGCAAGCATAACCTCCCCAAAGATCGCATGGAAGGTCTCATGAAGAAGCGTCGCGCTTTTCGGTAGACAGTCGCCAAGACTTTTACCGGGCAGCACGATGTTGTTACTTGCGTCCCGATAGTTGTTCGGCGCCCGGGGGTTGCTGAATGCAGATGGGCATATAATTATGCTCGCTATCCTCTCGTCTTTGGGCGCAAGAGTGCTGCCGTTCGGTCGTCTTTCAATCCTCCGAATACTTGCTGTGACACCAAGGTTCGTGGCGCTGCAAAAGTGACCACCATCCTCGTCAAAGTAGTATCCGTTCAAGTCGGTGATATTGGTAGGCCACCACGGCTTCTCCTTACCAGAGACTTGCAACTTGTATTCGTCCACATCCTGGATGAGGATTAACTCGTTTTTACTGTTGTGCATCTCTTTTCCATTCAAGTCCCATGCTGCGTCGGTCGTCTGGTGCTCAGATAGAAAGGTGCTGTCACAATGTAGCCAGAAGTTGGTCTTGTCATTTACTGGACTCATGTTGTAAAAGTCAAACACATCTTCAATAAACTCTATTTCACCGTCAGTCAAGCATGCTCGTTTGAGAAAGGCCGCGGAGAAAGGGAGAGGATATCGTTGCTAGGCTGGAGATTGGTGAAGAGGAAAGTTTCTGCGCAGCTAAGACGCACTTCTGATTTCCTGGATGATATCCGAGTCGCCTTTGCTCGTCGTTGGGACGCGAAAAAATGCATACATAGCATTCCGAACGCTCTTAGACTGGTCGTATGTGTCAATGGCGTCAAGGGCCGCATCAGTACTAAAGATGCATTCTTCAAGCCACTCGTCGAGCACCGCCGCGTGGGCATCGCAGCTCCCTGGGCCGTTGCCAGTCTGGACGGTGTAGATGTCGGGTATACCCACCGCGATGGTGCACGACGAGAACGCCAGTAAGGCCACGACCAAGTGTTGAAGGCGAAACGTGTGCGCCATTGAGAACAGTTGGGGCCAGATTGGAAGAGAGGGGTGGTCGGTATGGTATCGGTATGGGAGTTCATGAGACGGAGAAGCAAAGGGAAAGATTGACATAGGAGCGGGTGCGAGAGGCAGCGGTCTTGGTTCGAGCGCCCGGTAAAAAGTGTATGACGAACTGACTGCCGGCTTCCTTGCCTGCTACTAGTTGGGCCTCGTCCCGGGGACAGAAAAAAGGCATCTGCGGTCTGATGAAAACTATCCGATCTGAGCTCATGCGCCAAAACGCACATGGCAGTTGATAGAGTCAGTACGTGCCAACTCGCACAGGCAGACCATGTAGACGAGCGGGGTTAATGCAGAACTCCCAGTCTGTCCAGGATGTCTGTCATTGAACAATCCTTCTGATGACATTGCCTGACCGGGTTTGCGCCTTTGCCGTGGCGGGTGGCCTGACCCGGCCATGACCTATTTTGACTTGGCGTATTGGATGGCATTCTGCATGCGAAGGAGAAATTGCGACGGGCAACATGCATTTAACCTGGGCTATCAGTGTATGGCGCTCTTCTCTATAATTAGAACCGTCGGGAGAAAACGTGGCGCATGGGGGCATACTGTATTGCATGTTAGCCGGACCGGCCAGGCTGCAGGCATCTCGCTCGTATCGGCAAGCGGACGGACGGTCAAACGGCATAATTGACTCTTTTAGAAAACTCCAGTGCAACGGCGAAGGGGGATTATTTCATGCGCGAATCCTTCTGCGGCAATCGTATCAGGGAGCTGGCACTCAACATGGCAGCCGGTGTGGGGTTAGGGTTAGAGAAAGTGCCTGCTCGGAGGTCGCGGTTAGCGATCTGGCATGTTTGCTGTCGAGTTACGGGTAGAGAAAGAAAGCATAATGAGAATAACAGTCACGTCACGAAAGAAGTCGGGTCTAGGTGTATAAGTCAACATGTTCATTCCACATTCTTTTCCTCATCAGGCAGCAACCCCATAACGAACGGGGTTACGCTATGAAAGACGCGTGGATCGCGATCTCACGCGAACTAAGCCGTAGCCACAATCTTGACAACAATGCCCTTGGTCACATAACCCTTGGGGTAGGTCGACCCCGAATAGGCCGGGTTCGAGGCATTGACGGCAACGCCCAGGGACCCGCCATCCGTGCCGCATCCGATCAGAGCAGCGGCCTGCTGAGCGGGCGTCGCATTCGCTCCACCGTCGATGGTGGTCGCAATGTCGGCGAACAAAACGCTCGTGTCGACGCTCGGGTCAATGTGCTTGGCAACGGCCTGCGCGGTGCCGTGCGCGTAGACCTGCCACTCACCACAGCCGGACGTGTCCTTGGCGGCCATGTTGAAGAGGCGGCCGGCGCGAGTCTGTGCACCATAGTTGCGGAGGTAGGTCGCGATGAACTGCACGTCCTTGATGTCGACGCCCTGGGGATCCCCGTTGGGTGGGCGGTAGCACAATTGCTTGTCGTTCTCGTTAGGGTAGCAGGTGCGCGGTGCCAGAGTGAGGGGCGAGGCAACGGCACCGCCCGCCAAGAGGGCCAGGGGCACGTGATTGATGAGCATCATCGCAGCGGGGATAGGTTCCGTAGTTTTTCTGACAAGGGTATAAGGTAACAAATTAGTTGCTGCGATCTGACAAGGATGGGCACGCCTAGAGCTAGAAACAAACAACGGCGCGCAGCCAAGCCAATTTATAACCCAGCCCAGAGACATTTCAGCGCTATCCTTAAATCATTACCAATAGGCCAGATACCGAGATACAGCCAGTACACCCTTCTAGACATACTATATAAAATCCGCAGCAGGCTTACAGCTTTTATTGCCTACACGAAGAGCCTACAAGTGCCAACTTACCAAGCCAAGCCAGGCGCTAGCTAATAAGGTGTAGAAACTACTTCCCCGAAGCAGACGTGGTGCTGTGGTATACTACGGAGGAGGCTTCTAGCCTATTGCTACCAAGACTACGCGCTTATATAAGCATTCCAGACCATCTCCGATTTAGTGCGTAGCCCCCATCGCCCCCAAGCCCAACGACGGCCCAGGACGCAGTTATATACAGAAATATACCTACTAGGAACCTTTAACTACATCGCTATTAGTACCTAAGCTGGTCGCTACTATTCCTCTAGTGAAATGGTACAGATCTCCACAAAGCTAAGGAGGAAAGGGAAAGCAATAGCGGAGCTAAAGCCAAGTATTGGTAATAAAACCGAAGGCGACCCAAACTATTCTATATACATACGAAAGTGACCCCATTCAGCATAGACTTAGGCTAATCCTGATTTGCGGTCAACTAATGCAAGCTTCTTCGCTCGGCGTTAGACCAGCGTTACCTTAGGGAAACGAATAAAGGTGCCCATCTCCTAGAACTAGGGTCTTAGTCTACTGCTTTCATACCACCCATATTCTACTTTCCCTAACACTTACGTTTAGGATCTAACTGTTAGAGAGCCATAATGGTATAGCCATGGTTTTCTGGTGTCCTGGTGTCTGGGAACAGGGGTATTACAACGGTAAGGCGTGCGAACCGTGTGTATGGGGCCCCTATATAGACCAACCTAAGTTAGTATGGTGGGGCGCCTACAGGTAATAGGCGTTATTATAAACATAGTGGAGGCAGTACTCTAGCTTTTTATTATAATAGGCTCTTTTAAGACCCTATCTATAATATTAAAAAAGCTTACTATAGTATCCTACTACCTAGTAGCCTAATTTCTTTTTTAAAAGGGGGTAATAGTACCCCTTTTATCCTATAGTTATTAAGATATATTCTATATAATATATTACTATTAACTATATTAATATTATTCTAGCTATTCTTCTACCTACTACTACCTTTACTTTTACTACTTTTAATACCTTTAATCTAGATACGCCTTATATATACCTACTATCTACTTTACTAGTAGCTATTACTACTATTATTACTAGCTATTATAAGTTATAAATACTATAGTAGCCTTTATTATCTATTTTCTTATAGTAGTACCTTTAACTACTTTACTTACTTTATTATATAGCTTTAATAGATAAAGAAATACTTAGTATATTAGGTTAGGTTATCCTTTAATATATATACTAGGTATATAGATATAGGTATAATTTTACTTATAATAGAACTTTATTAATATTTAAATATTAAAGGTATAGTAGCTTATAATAACTCCTTTATATACTTATATATAATAAAGCTAGAATTTAAAGTCTATATATCTTAAAGTTATATAGTATATATTCTTTATATAAAACTAAAAAGGCTAAAGAAGAATCTATTTTCTATCTTTAATAGTATTTATACTAGTATAATAAAGGCTCCTTTCTTTAAGGTAGTTAATAACCTATTAACTATAGTTAGAGTTTTAGTAAAGAGGTTCTATATTTTTAATAATAAAAATAGTTATCTTATTTTTTATTAAAAGGCTATAAAGGACTATATTATATTTAACTAAACTTATATATTTTATAGTATAATATAACTTTATTTTAAAAAGGTCTTAGCTTTTATTTCTTTTAAGAAGAAGGCTATATTTTATAATCCTTTATTAAAAGGCTTTTATTATATAGGTAAGAAAGTTAACTTTAATTATATCTTCTTTATAATCTTTTATATACTATTATTTTTTATTAAGTAATACCTTTTCCTTTATCCTATACTAGTAAATATACTAAAGAATACTATATAAGGTATTAAGATAGCTATAGGGTAAGAGCTATATACCCCTATATCTATTATATAAGAGTTAGTACTAAATAGGAGGATATCCTATTTCTAATATTATATATAAAGTATTAGCTTTAAGCTTAAATGCCTATCTATAGCTACCTTAAAAGTATCTATAACTATTATACCTAAGAATATCCTAGAAAAGGGTAAGAATAAGGAAAATATTAAGAAAAGGGAAATATAATACTATATTTTACCTATACTTAAGGTTTAAAATATTAGTATAACTATATTCTAAAGGGAGTAGTTAGAAGTTAATATTATTATCTATCTTATCTAGCTCTAGCTAATCTATATTATCCTTTTATACCCCCTTTATATATAGTAATACCTATAGGTTTATAAATATATAATTACTATCTATTTATTTATAATTAATACCTATATAGCTATAAAGGTCTTTATTAGATAGATATATATAAGGCTTACCCTAAGTAGTAAAGTTAGTCTTCTTTATATACTTATTTATTATAAAAAAGTTATTTTAATACCTAAATATCTACTTATAGTACTTCTATATATCCTTATCTAAAAGAGGGATATTATTAATAATAATATAGTCTTTATTACTATTAAATAATAATATATTCTAATAGCTACTTATATAATAGTAAGTACTAAGCTAATAGGCCTATATAGTCTTATAGAGTTATATCTTACTATAGATATAGAGAGACTTAAGATATACTAAGTATAAGGATATATAGAGGTTTTTTAATAACTAGCTCTTAATCTTATTAAGTAGGACCTAGGCTCTACCTATTAAAATAGGTAGTATATAGATTAGTATAGGTAGCTAGAATATATTATCTATATAGGCCTAGATATTCTTATAGTAGAGAATTAGGTTATATAGTACTTTACTATTAAGGCGTAAAAAGAAGCTAAACCTATTCTTAAAAGCTACTATATCCTTCTATATTATAAACTTAGCTTCTTACTAGAAAGCCTTAGGCTCTTATATATTACTACTAATATACTTTATACTATACTTATTAAGGTATTACTAAATAGCTAAATAGCTTTTTATTTTTTAAATATTAAGGTAATATTAATTAATATTAAAGAACTTAGTATTCTTAATATTATACTTTTATAACTACTTACTAATTATATAAAAATATAGTATCTTATTTTTATACTCTTCTTATATTATATAAAAGTGTTTAAAGCTAAAGGATTTAATATTATTAAGAAAGTCCTATATAGGTAGGAAGTACTTAGGGTATATAAGGAATACTAACTTTACTACTAGCTAAAACTAATATCCTATAGACTTTATAGGTATTAATAGTATCTTATTATTATTATTAGAGGTCCTTAAGATTACTAGGCTTAGTACTTCTTTAAAGATATCCTTAAGTTACCTAACTAGTAGTAGCTAATAGTCTTATAACTAGTTATATAATAGTATTATATAAGGAGTTATTACCTAGAATAGCTAGTCTAGTTAGGTAGATAAGATATTATTAAATATTTATATAGGATCTATAGTATTTATTATAAAAAGAGAAAGGATAAGGAATATAATAGGATACTCTAATATTAGTATCCTAGCTATCTTATATATATTAACTATTGCTGCTAGTATGACTTAGGTAATCCCACAAGAAATCAGGCTGCTAGGCAGTAGGATACTATAGCGAGCTTTTTTAATATTACTTATTAAAGTAACTTAAAAGCTTATAAGAGGAATAGAAGTACCTAATAGTATTAGGTTTTATTATACTATAAAGGAAATACCTTTTAATAGCTATTATAATAACTAAAGTAGCTTACTATTTAGACTTTTTATTATTTTATTATTTAAGCTTAATAAGGTTAGCTATAATTATAACTACTTATATAAGTATAGTTATAAAAGCTATAATAGTATTATTAGTCTATTTTAGAATAAGATAAGGGGTTATCTTAGTAGTATAGGAGTTAAACTCTTTATTAAGACTATTAATAAAAAGATATACTATTAAAGCCTTAAAGACTTTAAAGTCTTTATTAAGAGATTACTACTTAGCCTAAGTATTAATAAGTATTATAATAAGTTTCTTAATAGACCTATATTAAGTAAAGGTTAGTATTAAGAAATAGTTAGCTATAGTTTAGAAAATAGTAATACCTTTTAGTTTAAAGTACTTTTTAAAGGCTATAATTATATTTAATATTATAACCTTATCCTTAATAAGGCTATAAGTATATTCTTTAAGGCTTATATTAATAAGAGTAATAGTATAGACTTAGTCCTATATCTATTCCTAAATAAAATTCTTTATAATCTTATTACTATAAGCCTTAGTTAAGATAGAGCTATTTTCTTAGCCTTCTAGTAGTAATCTACTAAGATTATTAAGTCTTAGTATATTAATTATTTTTAACTTCTATTTAACCTAGTTACTTTTAAATTTAAGCTTTAAGATATTTAATACCTTCTTTAGTATTAAAGATATAATATTAAATAATAAAGTAGGTAATAAGGCTATAAAAAGATCTTAACTTATATATAGAAGTTAAGTTACTAATAGTATTACTTACTAAAGGAATAGAACTTTAAGATAATAAGGAGGATAATAGGCTAAGTATATAGTCTTTCTTTTTAAACTAAATACCTTATATTTATTTAAAGGTAAGAAGTATTTAAATAAATAATAGGGAATTCTTCTTACTAAGTAAGTAGTTACTATATACCTTTTATAGTAGTTAAGACTATAGATTATAGTAAGTAATCTAGTAAGTATATCTAGGACTATAGATTATAATAAGTAATCTAATAAGTATATCTATTTAAAGGCTATAACTATATTAAGTAAATTTATATTATAATATATATAAAATAAGTATATAGAGTCTATATATAAATTACTAGGTAAGGTATAGTAGTAGAATTTCTTTTTCTTTATATAGAATTTTTATAGTAAATAGACTTATTAAATATACTCTAAATTAGCTAGAGTTTAAAGTCTTTTCTCTTTCTATATATAAAGAGTTATAAATTTCTTAAGTTTTATAGTAAATATTAGCTTATATAGATAGTAGGTAAATTTAGTAAGAAATTAATACTTTCTTTTATTTTATTAGTAGTTTTTATAATATAAGCGCTATTAGGCTTATAACCTATTAAGACTAATAGGGTATATATAGGGTAAAAGGTAAAGTTATTATATTATATAACTTCTATCTAGTTATATAGTATAGGTAAGTATTAGATATACTAGGTAATAGGAGATTATTCTTCTAGCTTTAGAGCTACCTATTATTAATTATTACTATTATTACTCTAAGGAATTAGTTAGTATTTAGTTATTAATTAATTTATAATTATTTTCCTATATACCTTATACTACTTACTATTATTACTACTAGTATTCTATAGAATTAGTTAGTATTTAGTTATTAATTAATTCTTAATTATTTTCCTATATACCTTATTATTACTATTATTATTATTACTATTACTAGTACTACTACTAGTACTACTACTAGCACTCTAAGGAATTAGTTAGTATTTAGTTATTAATTAATTTATAATTATTTTATTATATACCTAGTTATTATTACTATTATTATTACTAGAAGTCTTAGAAGTATCCTTACTAGTAGAGGAGTTAGGCTATAGAATTAGTTAATATTTAGTTATTAATTAATTCCTAATTATTTTCCTATATACCTTATTATTATTATTACTACCTATAGTACTCTAAGGAATTAGTTAATATTTAGTTATTAATTAATTTAAAATTAGTTTCTTATATACCTTATTCTTTAAAGGCTTTTTCTTTTCCTCCTAGTTATTATTAGCCTATTATAATTAATTAGGAATTAATTCTAAATTATAAAGTAATTACTAATTACTTATTAGGGTAAATACTAGTGCCTAAAGTAAGGAGATAAGGCTAAGGTTAGCTACCTTAGCCTTATATAGGGTATTAAGTAGTAAAGACCTATTAATAATTAATTAAAAAAAAGCTAAATAGGTTAGTAAGTAATTTTAAACTAATTAGGATTAATATAAGTAATTCTTAATTAATTAAGAATATAGTAGGAATTAATTAGGATTAGTAAAAGTAATTCTTAATTAATTAGGAATATAGTAGGAATTAATTAAGATTAGTAGGAGCGATTCTTAATTAATTTAGAATATAGTAAGAATTAATTAGGATTAGTATAAGCAATTCCTAATTAATTTAGATTAGTATAAGTAATTCTTAATTAATTTAGAATATAGTAGGAATTAATTAGGATTAGTATAAGTAATTCTTAATTAATTTAGAATATAGTTAAGAATTAATTAGGATTATTATAATTAATTTTTAATTAATTAGGAATATAGTTAAAAATTAATTAGGATTAATATAATTAGTTAAAAATTAATTAGGAAATACTTACTAACTAATTTAGTCTTTTTAGCTAAATTATTAGTATTAGGGTGCTATTTCTTTACCTATATCTTATATACCTTTATATAATAGTAATAAAGGTTAGAATAGTTTAAAAATAGTATACTTTAATTAATTATAAATTAATTATAAATATTAAATTAATTCCTAATTACTTACTATAAAGTATAAGTTACTATCTTTATACTAGTAATAATAAACCTTACCTAGGGTAAGGATTATATAGCTACTTTATAATTTATTTATAATTAGTTTAGAATATATTTTAAAACTATTTTATAATTAATTAGGAATTACTTACCTTATTCTACTATAGTAGTAGGAAATAGCTTACTAGTAGCTACTTCCTACTATTAAAGTAAGCCTTAAAAGTATTAGAATTTATTATAAATTAATTTATAATTAATTATTTAGTAGGAAATAGACTATTAAATTATTATTATATAGGTTAGAGGAACTAATTCTAAACTAGTTATATAGTAATTTAGAACTAGTTAGAAATTATTTATATATATAACTACCTTACTAAGAAAAAATTTTTAGCTAGTAAAAGTATAAGAAATACTAATACCTATAGTATTAGAAGTAACTAAGTTATAAACTAATTAAAATACCTAGAATATATTAACCTACTAAGGCTAATAAATTCCTAACTAAAACTAAGAAAACTAGTAAGTAACTAGCCTATAAATATATTACTAAAGGCTAGCTATTTACTAAAATAGTAACTTATTTACTAAAATAGGATTTCTAACTAATTAATATATTAGAAAGTTAATACTATATAGAAGTTATTAGGAATTAGTTCTAAATTAATTCTAAATATATTAAGAAAGACTTTATTACTAAATTTAAGTAATAAGAGAATAGAATATAGAAGAAGTAAGATACTAGAGTACTATAGGCTTTCTTCTTTTTATATTTAATAGAATTCTCCTTTTTTCTTTATAAAATTAGTTTATTTTCTAATTTTATAAGATTTTCTTTACTATATATATTATTTATATATTAGTTCCTAACTATTTATATATTAGTTACTAACTATATACTTACTAAATATAAATAGTATTAAAAAGTAATTTTAAATTAATTTAGAATTTATTAAAATAGACTTTAATTTACCCTTTTATTTTATTCTATATTTTATTCTATTTTATCTATATTAAGATTAATAAGTATTTAGAATTCTCTATTTTTTTAAGGTAGTATATTCTTACTTAATTATAAACCTTAAAGTAATTTTAAAAGTTCTTATAATTTATTTATAATATATTTCTAACTAGTTTTTAGAGCTTTTCTAATAAGTAATAAATACTTTTTAAACTACTTTTTACTTATTTTCTTCTTATAATAGAAGATACTACTTATACTTTATATACTTTTATTAGGAATATTAGTTATAAATTAATTACTAATACTCTTAGATTACTAGAAGGTATATTATCTATTTACTAAGTTATTCTAACTTTATTATTACCTAAATACCTAGCCTCTAGGTAATTTAGGACTACTTATATTATTTATAGTTTATCTATATAGTAGTTTTAAACTCCTTAGAAAGATATATATAATAAAAGGAGTAATTAGTTCTTAATTACTAACTAACTAATTCCTAGGTTTAATACTACCTTTATTATAAATAACTACCTAAGTTAATATTTTCTTATTTACTTAGTCTTTATATATAATATATTTTTAAGTATATAGGGGGTAAAGTCTATCTATTATATAATTAAATAGAATATTTATATTACTTTATATTACCTAAGTTATTTAAAGACTTAGTAGAGAAGTAATAATAAAGTACTTTTATAATTAAGTAGGTATATTAGGATACTATAAGGTAAATAAAGTCCTAACCTATTTAGAACTAGTTCTAAATTAATTAGATATATCTTTCTTACCTTTTAATACTCTAGTTTTACCTATTTTATTATTATAGTATTTAATTAAAGAATATAATATAATCTATTTAATTTAATATATATATTATAATATAGATAACTTCCTATCTAGGTATTTTAGTATATTACTACTTTAAATTAATTATTAATTAGTTCCTAGTTATTTATATAATTAAATACTTATAAGTATTTCTTTTATTTAAATTTCTAATAATTACCTAAAGAGTCTTATTTTTATATATATTATAACTTAAACTATTAATTATATTAAAATAAGATTTCTATAATTCTTTATAGAGATTCTATTAAAAAGTAAAAGTAATACTATTTTATTTATTTAAATATAATTTATTACTAATATTATAGTAAATATAGTTTTTAATTATTTATATTTTAACTAATTATAAATTAGTTTAGAACTACTTAATAAGTAATAGTATATTATCTTATCTTTTATATAAAGTAGTTTTTATATTCTTTATTCTATAATTAGCTTAGGTAGATATAATTATTTTAATATTATATAGATTATATTTTTATATACTAATTCCTTTATTAAAACTATCTTTAGATATTATAATATAATTCTAATATCTAGCTATAACCTTTAAGAATATTATAATATCTTTAGGTATTATTTCCTTTTTATTAAGTCTAGAACTAATTTAGAACTAATTACTAATTACTTCTTTTAGTTTTATTATTTTCTAATAAATATATTTAAGTAATATATACTTATTAGGCTATAATACCTTTATTAACCTACTTAGTTCTATTATATTATAATATAAAACTACTTATAATTATTAAAAAGTCTTAAGCTTTATAATTTCTATCTAGATAGAATTTTATTACCTTAATTATACTCTATTATTAAGAGATAAATACTAAATAATAGGTATACTATTTATATTAATAATATCCTTTAACTAATTATAAACTAGTTACTAACTAGTTCTACTCTCTTTAGTATATTTAATACCTAGAGTATTTAGATAATTACTATATTATTATATACTTCTATTATAACTAACTAAAGAATATCTTTTAAGGCTATTATATAGTTATTAAGGTAAATACTAATTATAAATAACTAGTTAGTAGTAATAACTACTAACTAACCTAGGTATTTTATTTAAAAACTTATAATTAAAGTAAACCTATTTAAAACTAATTCTAAATTAGTTTATTATATTTACTATTTTACTAACTATATTATAGTTATACTATTACTTTATATCTTCTTTAATAAGAATAATACCTTTACTTATAAATATATATACTTTAAAGTATTTATATTATTTAAATAATATTTTTATACTTTAATAAAATAGTAAAGTATTTATAATAAAGGTCTTTATAGTCTTATTTATAATATAGAAACTACCTATTATTAAGGTATATTCTTAATTAGTTTAGAATTAGTTCTAAACTTATTATATTATAAGATTAGCCTATACCCTCTTTAAACTTAACCTAGAGTATTAGCCTTAAGAATAGTACTTTACCTATATAATCTAACTTTATTAATACTATTTTATAGTTAAAGTTAAATAATATTTTAAAAAAGGCTATTTAATATATAATTAAATAATATTAATTTTAAATACTTTATCTTAAGATAAATATTATATAATCTTTTATATTTTTTAATATAAATAAGTTCTAAACTACTTAAGAACTAGTTATTAACTAATTTCTTTAGAGATCCCCTTAATATAATACTAGGTAGAGTATAAAGTAAATCCTATTATTACTATAGGCCTTAACTTTATTTTTATAAATATCTTAAAGTACTTATAGAATAATATTCTATAAATAATAAATAGTATTAAATTAAGTTATAACTAGTCTTATATTTAAAATAGTACCTATATAAGCTTATTTAAGACTTTAAAAGGGTATTTATTCTATTTAACTTTACTTATTTTAACTAATTTAGAATTAATCTTTAACTATTTAATAAATAATTAATAACTATATAATATTAAAGTATTTATTATAATATAGTATTTTAATACTATATAGATAATCCTTAAGCTTAAGTAATCTATACTATTACTTAAGCTTATATAAGTTATTAATTATATTCTATTTAAAGGTAAAGATAATAAAATATAGGCTTTATACTATTATAATATACTAGCTTTTCTAGGATATTTAGGTATAGTTAAAATACTTAATATAAATCTTCTTTATAATAAATTATAAACTAATTTAAAAATAATTCTTAACTAGTTATAATTAGCCTACTTTAAAATAATTATAAATAATACTATAAATAGTAATACTATAAATAATAATATTATAATTAGTAATACTATAAGTAATAATACTATAAATAGTAATACTATAAGTAGTAATACTATAAGTAGTAATATTAGAAGCTATACCTTAAACTCTATCTAATAAACCTACCCTCTTTATTTTAATAAAATAGAAAGTATTAATACCTAACTAAGAAATATAATAATAAATATAAATATAAGAAGGTTAGCTTTAAATAGTATATAAGTCTCTTTATAAACTTTAAACTAGCTTAACTTACTTTTATTATTTTTTAAAGCTTATATTATTCTAGTTAATTTAAAATAGATAGTATTCTTATAAGTATTAAACCTAGATAAGATTTTAGTCTTTCTATATTATTATATTAGAAACTAATACTACTTAACTTTAATATATTTAACTATATCTTAGGCTATAAGGAACTTATAAAGAACCTATTCCCTTACTTAGGCCTTAATATCTAAAGTCTTACTAGTACTATCTTAAAACCTATTATTTATAGAATAGTTATTATTACTATAAAGAGCTTTAAGATTACCTTAGAATTATATAATAGTATTCTATAAGAAGGTACCTTAATAAGCCTACTCTTTATTAGCTACCTAGTAGTAAAGAATATTATAATAATCTTTAATAAAGAAAAAGTAATTATAATAAAGAATTAAAGGGTTATTCTTACTACCTAATAAACTACTAAAGTCTATATAGTTAATTATATTACTTTAAGTATTAGTATATTAGCCTATATAATAAATAACCTAAGGTATAAGCTATAGTATAATTAACTTAAATATTTAAAGGAATAGAATATTATTAAACTTATTTTTATCTTTATTAGTATAAAACTTATTAGCTAATATAAATATTATATTAGCTATTTTATAAAGAGATAAAAAGAAAACCTCTATATTTATTTATTCTAAAAGAGAATATATCCTTTTAAAAGCCTTTATACTAATATTATTAATACCCTACCTACCTTCTAGAAGAAAGATTAGTACTAGGTTATTATTATTAATAATTATACTAGAATATACTAGCTATTCTTTATTAAAAAGAAATCTTAGCTATTTAATATAATATTAAATTTCTTAAAGATATAGGAATATTTAGAATATAAATACTACTTTATCTAGCTAGATTAAAAAGGGAGAATATTATAACCTAGTTTAAGAACTCTTATATTTCTTTAAGTATATACCTATAGTATTTTACTACTAATTAGTATTAATAGAATAGTATTACTAAGGTTAAGAATAAGATATTATAAAATAAACTTTTTTTTACTATATATTAATTAAAAGTACTAATTAAATTCTAACTAATTATAATATAGATTTATATTATTCTTTAATAGTATACCTTTATAATAAAGAATAATAAACTAATAACTCCTTATAAACTATAATTTAAAGATAAACCTAACCTTAGTTATTTATAAATTATAGGTAGTTATAAGTAGTAAAAGACCTCTTATTATATTCTAAGAATAGTTCTTAAAACTATCCTATATATTTTAATTAAATATAAAGGCTAAACTAACTATATTATCTTAAATACTAATAGACTTAATAGACTAGTAGTTATTAATAATATTATTTTTTAAGAATAGCCTAACTAGTTATTTAAAGATTTTAAATATAACCTTTTTTAGTAGAATAACCTTACCTTAGGCTATAAAAGTAAAACTATATACTACTCTTTAGGTTAATAGGTAATTAGTAAAAGATAAGAGTATATAGAAATTACTCTAATTACCTATAACTTACTTACTAGTAAAAGCTTTATAGTAAAGTATTATAATATACCTATTACCTTAACTATAGAGCCTAAGTAAATAATACCCTTTATATTCTTTATATTAGTAGTATTAAGAATTACTAATAAAGATAATAATATTTATAACCTAGCTAATAATAATAACTTTATTAGTTATTTATATATATTAAGTAATAATAAATTTAAACTAATACTATTAGATATTTAATTAACCTTATATCTTATCTTTATTATTAGTATTAATAAGATATTATTTAACCTTTTTAAAATACCTTTATCCTTAGCTTTAAGTAATACTATTAAATAAGAAGAAAGACTTATAATATAGATTAAAATTCTAATTAGATTAATCCTAGTATTTTAAAACTACTAATATATACTTTATTCTAATCTTAATAATATAATAAACCTTACTATATTTAATAACCTTATTTATAATAAAGAACCTATAATATATAAGTAGATTATTCTCTACTTTAACTTATAAAAGTAAAAAAGCTTAATAGTAGATAAGTATAACTCTTTAATAAAAAACTATATTATAATTATAATTAATAGGCCTAAAAATAAGACTATCCTTCTAGGTAAATAGGTATATAAACTTAAAAAAGGTATAAATAATAAGGTTATTTATTAGAAATCTTAGTATATAGTAAAAGGTTTTAATTAATATAAAAGACTTAATTATTATAAAATATTTATAAATATACTAAAAATTTTAATACTATACCTACTACTAGTAATTATAGCTACCTTAAACCTTAAGGTTAAGTAAATAGATATTAAGACTACCTTCCTTTATAGTTCTATAAATACTAAAGTCTATATTAAAATACCTAAAGGATATTAAAAAGAATACCTTAGGAAAGTATAGAAGCTACTAAAGTCCCTATATAGGCTAAAGTAAGCCCTATAGATCTAATATATAACCCTTTATAAAACACTTTAAAGTCTTAGCTTTAAGCCTATATAGCTTAATTATTCCCTATTTATCTATAAAGATAGCCTAATTATTATAGTTTATATTAATAATCTTCTTATTATTAGTAAGAATAAGGTTACTATTATAAAGATTAAGAAAGCCTTATTAAATACTTATAAGATAATAAATATAAGCCTTATTAGCTACTATCTTAGTATTAATATCTATTAAGACTAATATATAAGAACTTTTATATTTTTTTAAAATAGATATATTAAAGCCTTTTTAAAAGAAGCTAGCCTTCTTAACTATAAACCTTATAACCTACTAATAAGTCTTACTACTAAAAGTATTAAATAATAGCTAACTATTAAAAATAGCTAGTATACTAAGACCTATAAAGGCCTAATTTATCTTTTTAACTACTTTAAGCCTAATATTTACTTTACTATTAGCTATTATTATAGATTTATAGCTACCTTATTAGTAGAATATATTATTAGCCTAAAATAGCTTTTATAATATATTAAAAGTATTATTAACTATAAACTTATTTTTATAAAACCTAATAAAAGACCTTAAGTTTATTATAATATTAATTATATTAGTTATTAATAAATATATAAATCTATTAATAGCTTTATTATTACCTTAAAAAGTAGTATTATATCTTAATACTTAAAGCTATAAAATATTATTATATACTTAACTACTAAAGTAAAGTATATTTCTTAGTATAATATAGCCTAGGAAGCTATCTAGATTTAATAGTTTTACTATATTATTATAAAAACCCTTAAGAAAAAGCCTACCTATACTAAGACTACTATCTAGGCTAATAACTCTAGTATTATTACTTAAGCTTTTAGTATTTAAAAATACCTTTATATAAAGTATATAAATATCTAATATTATTAGTTATATAATAAGAATATACTATACTAGTTAAGCTTTAATTAAATTCTAAGTATTAAAAATATTATTAATATTATAACTAAGCTATTATTAAAGCTAGCTTTTTATAAGTATAAGTATTATTTAAGACTATACTAAGTACCTCTTAAGTTATAATTTTCTAGGGGTCTATTCTAGAAATATTATATTTTTAAGGCTTTTAGTCTTTAAGGTATTACCTACTAAAGCTATTCTATAAGTATTATAGTTAATTAGTTTTATACCTTTAAGGTATTACTCTTTATAAGTACTATAGTAGGCTCTTTATTAATATTATTAGTATTAGCCTTTAAGGTATTACTTACTATAAGCTAGCTAGCTTTTTATTAATATCTTTATTAATATTAGCTTTTAAGGTATTACCTACTAAAAGCTAGCTAGCTTTTTATTAATACCTTTATTAGTACTAGCCTTTAAGGTATTACTTACTAAAGGCTAGCTAGCTCTTTATTAATACTTTTATTAGTACTAGCCTTTAGGGTATTACCCTTTAAAGGCTAGTAAGCTCTCTATCTACTACTATCTCCTTACTTCTAGGACTATTATAGGCTAATTAGTGCTAAGCCTTTAGGGTATTACCTTCTAAAGGTATTATAGTAAGCCTCTTATAGCTATAAGTTATAAGGCTTTATAGGTCTTATAGCTACTAAGGCTCCTTTATAGCTATAATCTTATAGAAGCCTAAGCCTTTATAAGTTTATTATTATTCTATTACTCTTAGGACTATTATAGTTAATTAGTATACTTAGTACTAGTATAATATTAGTATAGTATACTTAATACTAGTATAGTATTAATATAGTACTAGTATAGTATATTTAGTATTAATATAATATTACTATAGTATACTTAGTATTAGTATAGTATCTAGTATATTTTAACTAGTAGTTCTTTATATATCCTATAGCCTTTAGGATAAGGTACCTTTATTAAATATAGTTTATAATATAACTTTTATTTTTTATAAAATTTATTTATATAGGTTTTTAAGTTAAATTACCTTATAAATAAAAAGTAAAAAATATAATAGTTATAAAGCCCCCTATATAATAATAAGGCCCCCTATATAGTAGTAAGCTACTCTATACCTAATATAACTATAAGCTATTTTATACCTAATATAACTATAAGCTACCTTATACCTAGAAGAAAAAGGTAACTTAGGTATACTAATAGGTACTATTATGCTTATTAGTAAGTAGGAGAATTAGGCTACTATTATAGTATAATTATAGTAGCTATAGTAGTTATTACTTTTCTTTATAGTTATTATTTTATTCTTTATAGTTATTATTTTATTC